CCGGATTGTTGTTGGGGGCGATATGCTGACTCTGTAAACCGCTTAGAGAGGGCTGAAAGCCCTATGAAGCGGTATATAAGTCTAACTGCTATTGAATCACGGCCGGAAACTCCCCAAAGGACCAGAGATCCACTCTCAAGGCTGAGCATTTATTGTGGAAGACCCAGGAATCCATTTGGAGAAATAAATTAACAGGAGTTGGAGAAGGTTTCAAGTCATTCAGGAGGAGGTTGCGGCCGGCCCCGTCTCGGTCTCTAGGATGCTCTGTCCAAGCTCTCCTTGGCGCCGGGACGGTGGAAGTAGAGCAGTTCCAGGCTGACGGCCTCGGACTCCGCGTCAGACCTCACCAGTTTCCGCCGCCACGTGCGGCACAAGGCGTAGAAGATACAAAAGGACAGGGGTCCCAGGCCCAGCAAGGCGCCCACGATCAGGAGGAGAAGGCGGGTGTCCCCCAGGGCGAAAAGGCCCCCGCGGGGCAGGTAGGAGACGGAGGGGGTGCGCGGACAGGTGTGGGTGCGCCCCTCGTAGGTGCTGTGGGACGGGCAGGCGCTGCAGTTGTGAGCCGACCCCGCCAGGCAGGTGTAGCAAGAGGGATCGCAGGCGGCGCAGGCTTCCAGGGTGCGCCGGGTCCCGTTGGGGTGGAGAGCCGAGCGGGACAAGCGGTAGTACCTGGGCGGGCAGTAGGAGAGGCAGAGGTGCTGGACCGCGAGGAGAGGGCTGGGGCATTCTGGGGAGGAAAAAAGAGAAGGAGTGGGAGGAGGAAGAGGAAAAGGAAGAGGAGGAGGAAGAGAAGAAGGAAGGGGAGAAGGAGGAAGAGGAGGTGAAGAGGAAAAGGAAGAGGAGGTGGAAGGGGAGAAGGAGGAAGAGGAAGAGGAGGTAGAGGAAAAGGGGAGAAGGAGGAAGAGGAGGCGAAGAGGAGGAAAAGGAAGAGGAGGAGGAGGAAGGGGAGAAGGAGAAAGAGGAGGAGGAGGTAGAGGAAAAGGAAGGGGAGAGGAGGAAGAGGAGGTGAAGAGGAGGAAAAGGAAGAGGAGGAGGAGGAAGGGGAGGAGGAAGGGGAGGAGGAAGAAGAAGAGGAGAAAGAGGAAAAGGAAGAGGAGGAGGAGGAAGGGGAGGAGAAGGAAGGGGAGGAGGGGGAAGAGGAGGCGAAGAGGAGGAAAAGAAGGAGGAAGAGGAAAAGGAAGAGGAGGAAGAGAAGGGAGGGGAGGAGGAAAAGGAGGAGGAGGAGAGGAGGATCTATCTATCTGTCCATCTTATCTATCTATCTATATCTATCTATCTATCTATCATCTATCTATCTATCTATCTATCTATCTATCTATCTATCTATCTATCTATCTA